ATGTGTGTGTGTTTGAGTGAGTGAGGTTTGTGTGTGTATGTTTGTGTGTGTTTATTTACTTTTGCATATATGTATTTACATATATACACGGTATATTCATGTGGTATGAATTTAAACATGTACCTGTATGGTCTCCTCAAGAGACTTGGCATCAGGTCAAGACAAATTACAACCTTTCAGTGATAAAATAAGCGTTGCGAAACACAGGCAAGCAGCCTTCACGGTAATAAAATTCATGCTTTGGGTTGAATAGGTACAGCTACATTTACAGATACAAATATTTCAAATGAACAGGTACATCTACAAATCTATTCATAGGTATGTGTACGTGTAATAAGTTTTAGACAACAAATTTGACTTACTAAGAAGACGGAATTTGACCCAATAACTCGTTCAGCTGGTTATCCCCCTCGTCGAGCATATCTCTGATAGCCTTCACCTCCGCCTCATCTTTGTTGCTCAAAGCCATTTTATTTTGTTTATACAGAAATGAATAATGTTTGGATATCTAGAACCCCGAGAACAGATCACTTTATGTTAAAGTAGCGGTCTGATACGGTGAATGCAGATTAGAAGTGTAGTTTTGCACCAAGGTACCTTGTGCCTGTATCTTTTAAATACAATAATATAAAAATATATATTTCGCCGTGCCGGGTGCAGTTGGCCAGTTGTGCACAGTATGTAGTGAATAAAATTTAAAAAAGATCAAAGAAGCATACAGAAGCACTGGATATCAACACCCAATAGGAAACCGTTTTTATTCGAAAAAAATATGGCCTTCTTTTGTCGGAAAAAACATCAGAATCCGACAATCCTCTAATAAATAGATTTTTGAAAATGCAGAACCCGGGGCCGGCAGCCGACAGGTTGTCTGAACAGTGAACACTGAACGGTGCAACAGACAAAGTCATATCATCGTATTGACGTGTGACGTAGGTACATAACTTCAGAAGAAGGCTAAAAATTTAAAATACATACGATACAAGAGGCTAAATAAATACCTGAAGACGAAGTCATGAGACTTGAAATCGAGATTTTTTCTTTTTTAAAAACAAAAACAAAACTTCAGTAGACGGTTGGGCGGTTGAGCGCAGGCCGCAGGATCTCCGCCCACTCTGGGCCCAGCCGGCTATATATACTCTCTCAGACTATTTCTCTCGGTCTCCCCGGGCCTTCGGCTGACCGGCTTGCCCCCTCTCAGTATAAGTCAGTATGTTTGACATCTCTCAGAGTAGAGATGAGATAGTCCGCTCAAGTCGGTTGTGGTATTTTGGGCCACAGTCTCGATAAAGTATAAATAGACACATGAAGATGATAAAGGCGGAAGAACAAAAAAAGCAGGGGGAGAGGGCCCGGGGGGGATAAAATATTTGTTGTTGTATTCGTTTGTATTTTGTTATAAAAAAAAACATAAATAATTTGTGCGTGGCCGCCGTGAATTTGTGAAGTCGTGTACGGTACTCAGGACTGTGAACATGAACCATATTTATGACTCCCAGACCCAGTCCCCACTCCTCAGGACCCCAGGCCCCAGCCCCCCAGAGAGTGGACTGAAGTCCCCCAGTCCTCACAACAAGAAATAGGGCGGATTGAACTAAGCTCGGTAGGATGTTTGTTTGTCGGTACATACTCATTTTATTTTTTGATATCTATCGAAACTTTAGATCTGTACAGAATTGTGTATCCTGATTCGGTAATTCCTGGTCCCAGGGGTCACTGCGTCTAGCGACCTGGATTGAATTCCTGGGGAATACATCGCCTGATCACAATTCATATGTATGATGAGGAATTGAGGACCGTCATCATTTTCTTTCAAATCTTGGTTCGGACAATCGGCCAGAATCCTACTTTGAACAAACCTAGTTCAACATAATAAACGACATAGAATTTACAACAAGCTCTCAGATCTCTGGATTACTAAAAAAATGAAATAAATAAAAAAAACTGCGTTGACAGTATGATAAATACATAACAGAAGACTGATATGTAAATATGTGTAATATGTGAATTCTTTTGGGAGGGGGTTTTTTTGGCTCGTTCTATAAGTACTTGGACCCCGTTCCCGACCTTGTCTAAAAACCATTTATATTTAACTAAAACAACTTGGACCCCGTTAAACCATTTTTATTTAACTAAAACATGACCCTCTAGAAAAGGAATAAGAATAAAATAGAAAATAGGTCGAACTATCAAACGTCCGGAGGTCAAAAGCTAGGGTTTTAAAAGTCAAAAGAAGCTTTTAAATTTATGATTTTAGGGGTTAGTTTTATTTAGACACATCTCACACTTCTTGCACAGTCTACAGAGACCTCAGACTCACAAAGTCACAGCGACACAGCGTCACGGACCACAAGCATAGGCGCACAGCCTCACAAGTTTGTTTTGGGGACTTTTCTGATAGTATTAGGCCTGATTGGTACCCACTCCTTTCAGGAACGAATCTTTGCGTTGGTAATGTTTTAAATATATCTTGGTTGTCTAAAGGGTTCGCAATTTACAGGCAGAGTGGTTCCATATTTTTTATAGTACTTTTCAGTGCGAAGTGATCGCCGCAAGTTCATATTAGCAGGGCAAAAGAACCGCTCAAGTCACGATGTGTCAGAGGTATTGGACGCATACAACCTCGCGAGAATAAATGTAAACTTTTACTGCAAGCTTTAAATACAGCTGTTTCTCACACGATCCACAACCAACTTTTAATACCATCGAAAACCAAGTCTGGGCCACATATTGCCGATTAAAATCTTAGCTGTATGCCTAGCAATCTTTATTAGCGTATATCTCCACACAAAAGATAACAATACACAACATATTCGATACTATCGGTTCCAGAACACTTCGTGCGACTCCAGTAACTCTCACATAAGTGACAACTAGACTCAAGACTCAAGGTCTAGCACCGTTGTAATCGTTCTCAACACGCCGATACTGCGGTACTGTCGCCGCAGTGACGCGTTCCAGTTCATAGCGCAAACCCATAGCCTTATTCCACTGCCCGTACTTCCCGCATAACGCTATGGCGTACACGTATACATCAGCCGGGATGTCTTTAACTTCCCTCTCCACACTATCCAGCCATTCTAAGGCTTCTGCAAACTGCTCAGTCTTCATAAACGTCCTCACAACCGATATATATGTCGCCGCACTACGTGGTATACCTTCCTGGCCCATCATATTGAACACTTCGATGGCTCTATTTTTAATTCCCCCTATCTGACACGCTTCTAACGCAATACTATACGTTCGTACGTCACGTGAATGGCCTAAAGAAACCATTACCTTGAACACATCCAGGGCTTGCTTGTAGAAATGCCGTAGCAATGCTGATGACATGACAATGTTATTCGTATTGGTATCGCTGACGACGAGTGTGTTATTCCGGATGTCCTCAGCCACGCCTATGAGTTCTTTCCACATCCGCCCCTTCTCGTACGCAGCTATGGCAGTGATGTGTGCCTCTGGCGTGCCAGAAATATTATCGCGCTTCATTCTCGTGTATAAATCCGCGGCATTTTCCCATTGGCCTCTTTCTCCACACGCGGAGATGGCGGCACTATACGCAAGCTCCTCCGGTGCGAATCCCTTTCGCTTCAATGCATCGAATATTTCCAAAATATTTTTATATCGACCCAAATTTTCATACGCCAATATGGTCGCCCACTGTGTATATGTGTCTAGTGCAACACCTTCTGCCCTCATATCATCCACTGTTGCTATGATTAGATCCCACTCACAACCGTCGTGTAGTCGGCGTATCTGGTGGCTGTATTTAGAAGTTCTTGCCGAAGCCATCCCCCCACCAACCTGTGCTTTCTCGTTTGCAGACACCGAAGTCACATCTGCTGCGTTTTCCTTCACCTCACTCACTATACTTGGACAAAGCTTCCCAGATTCTACTTCTTGTGTACTTCGCTTTGCATCTTTCCAGATTTTATGACTATTTGGTCCGCTGGGCTGTGTTTTGAGACCGTGTTGCACTCCACTTTTTGTTTTTGGCACAATTTCGGGTCTTCTCTGGGCTTTAGCTTGGCTTGCTTGGAAACTAGGAGTTTGAGCCGGCTGGCCATTTTTAGCACTCTTTCCAGAGCTTGTAGTATACACACGCGCAGAATGTACCCTGCTACGGTTAACAGTTTGAGAAAGAAAAATAGAATCAATATTCAAATAACACAAAGTCTTTTTTTGAAACCACTTATTGGTGCCTGATTCGATCAATCATTTGGGTTTGTTCGTGTCTGGTGATAGCAAGATTC